ATTCATTTCACTGGTTTATTTAGTGGTAATCATTATACCATTCTGCACACTGAGGGCTTACACACACACACGCGCGCGCACAAACAAAAACGCATACACACACACACATACACACAAACACGCCTAAATAGACACACGTACACACACAAACGCATACATGTACAACATACAGTATTTGTGTATGTATTTATTACAGATTCCCAGATGGCCTGGCAAAAACGGGAGAAAAGTGATTTAGATCAACAGATTGCTGACATTTCCAACTCTTAACAGATGACAAAAATCCCAATTGGTTTACACTATTTTTCTGTTAAAAGGCTCAGTGACAGCACTATGAATATTTGCAGGCTTTCTTCCAAGTAAAAATATGCACTAAATATATATATAAAGATAGATAGAAAGAAAGATAGATAAATAGAAAGAAAGAAAGATAGATAAATAGAAAAAGAGAAAGATAAATAGAAAGAAAGATAGATAAATAGAAAGAGAGAAAGATAGATAGATAGAAAGAAAGATAGATAAATAGAAAGAAAGATAGATAGAAAGAAAGAAAGATAGAAAGAAAGAAAGATAGAAAGAAACATAGATAGAAACATAGATAAATAGAAAGAAAGATAGATAATTAGAAAGATAGATAGAAAGAAAGATAGATAGAAAGAAAGATAGATAAATAGAAAGATCGATAGAAAGAAAGATAGAAAGATAGATAAATAGAAAGAAAGATAGATATATAGAAAGAAAGAAAGATAGAAAGAAAGATAGATAAATAGAAAAGAGAAAGATAAATAGAAAGAAAGATAGATATATAGATAGAAAGAAAGAAAGGTAAATAGAAAGAAAGATAGATAAATAGAAAGAAAGATAGAAAGAAAGATAGATAAATAGAAAGAAAGAAAGATAGATAGAAAGAAAAATAGAAAGAAAGATAGATAAATAGAAAGATAGAAAGAAAGATAGAAAGAAAGATAGATAAATAGAAAGAGAGAAAGATAGATTGATAGAAAGAAAGATAGATAAATAGAAAGAAAGATAGATAGAAAGAAAGATAGATAGATATGTAAGTTGTGCGTGCGTGCGTATGTAACATAATTATGAAATACTCTGTTTTTCTACAAGAAGTCGACCTTAACCTGTATCTGTACTTTTCACCTTGCAACGTCTGTCGATTGACGATTACTCAAGCTTTATCGCTTGGCTCATATTTTGTATGGTTTGAGAAATTTCATCAACTCATGAATAGGACCAAGTCTGAAGATCAATATAACTCTTTCGATCCAAATAGCCTCGAAGGAAAAAAAACAAAACAAAACTCTTTGTCTAAATTTCTTTTCACTAAAAAACATTATCGGATAGGTTCAGTTTTGTCAAAATTTTCTTTCTTTTATTTATTTCAACATTCAAGCATTTATCCACAGAGAACAATCGAATACTCAGAAAATCATATGACTTTAGAGAGAAATGAAAGCATTATATGGTTTTTGGCATTAAGAACACTTGTTTTATTTAATTTGTTGTTGCATGTTTACTTGATTTCTTTCAAATATCCAACGTTACCCAGTATAAGAAATACGTTTTACTTTTAAGTATTATATCTTATCCAGTAAAGATATAAAAAAAAAACTATTGCTTTCATTTCCATACCCAGTGTAAGTTACAAACATTGATCTGTTGTACATGAGAAATCAGATTGATATAGAAGTTCTATATTAAATATTAAAGGGCGAACGGAGCGAACGCTACGGCCCCGTACCGGTTCCTCGCTTCGCGCGGGCACGGCCCGACCGACCCGGTCCTCGGAGCCAATCCTTCTTCCGAAGGTACGGATCCATTTTGCCGACTTCCCTTACCTACATTGATGCCATCGACGAGAGGCTGTACACCTTGGAGACCTGCTGCGGATGGTGGATACGGACCGACTCGAGAGCTGCGAAAACCGGACCCGGATTTTCCAGGGCCGCCGAAAGCGCACCGGACGCCGCCCGAGCCGCGGAGCTCTACAGGTATCTTTTCCGTATCTCCAGACGAGCCGATTCCGCGGACACGGTCCTTTACGAAGAAGAGAGAACTTTGAAATGTGCTTTGAGTCAAGTCCCTCCTGTTTAAAGCTGTATCTGTCGCCCACACCTATCACTCACAAATATATCACTATAATAAGAATGGAAATATTTTTGTGTAAGTCTTATTTGATACATTTGTTAGATGAAAATTTGTTTTCCAGATATAAGAAATTATAAGATAAAAAGTAAAATAATATCCTGCTGATTTCGTATGAAGTATATTATTTATACACAATTCCAAATCTTTCCCCGTCCTGGTAGCATCTGTTAATGTCACAGCTATGGGCAAATAGTTAACACCCAAACTTGTGTAAAAAATGTTTTAATACCAGAAATACTTTGTAATAATAATAGAAAAAATTATTACCAGCAATAATTTTTGAAGGAAAACATATTATCAGCAATAAAAATTTTGTCGGCATTAAATAACCCATTGAGGTTGATATACCGTAAAATAAACCAAACCAAACTAAATCCAACTGCAAGGCCTCTGATCATTTAGGGTCTGAGCGATGGGCAAATAGTTAACCCTCCAAACTGGGGTCAAATACTAAGAAAGTGTAAAAATAGGTTTTAATACAGCAATACTTTTTGCATAAAAATTATTACAAGGAATACATTTTTGAAGAAAAATTATTACCAGCAATAAAAATGTTGTCGGCATTAAATAACCCATTGTGGTTGATATGCCGTAAAACAAGCCAAACCAAACCAAACCAAATCTTCCCGCACGAATTTTTAGCGCGCATCTGGCGAAACATATGTACAAAAATATTCATCAAACATGATCAAATTCAGTCACATGACAAAACTCACGTGTGCGAGCAAAATTGTTTCACACACACACACACACACACACACACACACACACACACACACACACACACACACACACACACACAATTCTTCTAAAAACAGCCAATAAATTTTACTTTCTATTTTTCTTATTCGGTTTTATTCTTTACTTTTCTGATTCTCACTCACATTCGCATCTACGTCTCCACAGGTAGACATGCATATACACATACACGTACTTCTACCCACATCGATGTACCCCGCATCCACTTACGCACCCCTTCCTTACACATACCTGTGTCTAAACTATTATAACTTGTAATACAGGAATTACTTGTTGTAATTTCCGGAGTATCTACAACCGATCATCCACTTTCAGTATCTTTCCTTCTTTTATGACTTTTCCTTCTTTTCTTTTTTTTTTATAGGGGTGTTTGCGGGTCAGGGAGAAGTGAAATGGCACGATGTGTCAAGTTCTTGTCTTTTATTCAACCCCAGGCAATCAAAATTTCTCACTCGCTTACTACTGTCTAGTGTCTCGTATTTTTCGGCCCCTGTTTCATGATTGACTGCTACTAATCTGAACCACTCCTATTTGCCATGTACATTCACTTTCTGCCCGCGTGTCTTTCAACTTTTTTTTTCTGTCGCAACTTCCAAATCTACAGGCAATGATTCTCACACTTTGTCATTGCTTTTCAATCATCAGGCATTCGTCATATTCATTACAGTTTCCCCCCTCTTACAGTATATTTGAAGTATTACAAGTATTTTTGTAAGGTTTATAATATCAGGTCATCCCATAAGTTCTGTCCGAATTTTAACTTTTTGTTAAAATGAACGAAATTTAAAGAGTATTTTATAATGTCTAATGGAGCTGAACATTATTTTTATGTTTAGATGCATTTAAACTGATCAAATTTTATTCCAGAGAACAGTAAAATTAAATTTTGTTTGATTAAAACCCTGCTAACATGGAAATACCCAAGAATCATTTGAGGCACATAATGCTTTATGAGTTCAAGAAAGGAAACTCAGCAGCCGAAGCGGCTAGAAACATTCATTCAGTTTATGGAGAGGAATGTGTGAATGAAAGAACTTGCAGAAGATGGTTTGCAAAATTCAGAGATGGAGATTTCACCCTTGAAGATGAAGATCGAACCGACGTCCAGTTGAGTTTGATGAAAAGCTTCTTGAAGCAGCCCTTGAAAAAAATCCTGCTTTATCAGTTGAGGAATTGGCAGTGGTTCTCAGTTCAAACCATACAACTGTTCATTTCATCATCAACAACTTGGAAAAGTTCCTAAACTTGGAAAATGGGTTCCTCATGAATTGTCTGAAAACAACCTCAAATCCCGAGTTGACATTTGCTCTTCTCTCCATTCTCGCCAACTTGTTTCACCTTTTTTGGATAGACTTGTGACTGGCGACGAAAAATGGATCTTTTATAGAAATGTTAAGCGTCGTAGACAGTGGCTTGGTAAAGGGGAAGGACCCCAGCCACAGCCGAGAAGGGAACTTCATGGGCAAAAGGTTCTTCTTTCAATCTGGTGGGATCGCCAAGGAATAATCCACTTTGAATTCTTACCACCTAATACAACAATTAATGCTCAAATATACCGTCATCAATTAGAGCATTTGAACCAAGCTTTGAGGGAAAAAAAAGACCTGCTCTAGTGAATCGAAAAGAGGTGATGTTTCATCAGGACAATGCGTGACCCCACACAGCAAGAATCACGTCACAAAAGATCGAAGAACTTGGTTGGGAGAAAATTCCTCATCCACCTTATTCTCCCGATCTTGCTCCTTCAGACTACCATTTGTTTCGTAGCTTACAGAATTATTTGGAAGAAACAGCTTTTGTAACATAGGAAGAGGTTAAAACTGACATTTGTGAGTTCTTCGATTCAAAGCCAAAATAATTTTACAGTAATGGAATTAGTAAGCTTGTTAATAAGATGGAAGGAAGTCATAGATAATCAGGGAAAATACATTGTTGATTGAATCTGTAATTAAATGTAACATTTAGTCACTTGTTTTCTTTATTCAAAATTCGGACAGAACTTATGGGATGACCTGATATTAAACAATTGGTCACGTCACATTTCGCTTAATGTATTGAAGTTAAAATAAACGTTTACGGTTTACATGCATGTCATATCTACTTCATCCTCCATCATTTCATCTTCATTGGATCAAATCTGTCTGCACGCTCTCTCTCTCTCTCTTTCCCTCTCTCTCTCTCCCTCCCTCTCTCTTTCCCTCTCTCTCACACACACCTTTCTCCCTGTTTATGTAAAATTTTATCGTTTTCCCTCTTTCGTTTTTACACTCAGACTCAGGTATTCACGGATACGTACAGACATTCTCATAGCAATTCAACAATTTATTTGCAAGCATTTTCTACTGTCTAGAATTAGTCATTAATATCACGTTGCTTTATATTTGCAGCTATTTCAATTTAATTCCAATGTAAACCGAAGTTCCTTCCCTGGCAACACATAAATAAGTCCTTTTCTTTTATTCTTTCCTTTTTATTTCTTGCTTTCTTTGAAATACTATCTATACCTCTCTCTTTTCGCCTTTTTCTTCTACATCCGTGTCACATTTGTTGCACCAGCTGTTTGCTTCTTTTATTGAACTTTTAATTTTGTTGCTTATCTCCGTCGACGTATTCAGTGCCAACTGACATTTTAGTGTCAAACGGTAACTAAGTCAAGTGAATCCATTTTTGGCAGGTATATCGTTTGCAAGTTTGCTGTCGGTGTTCGAGTCTGAATAGAATAAAGGTCTATAGAAGCCGAATATCTATATTTATAGGAAAACCCATTTCCGAAAATTACTGTTGCGATAAAGAATATATCTCACTATTCCAGACGTTTAGTTTATCGATTACCATTTTTCATAACGATAAGTATGATGTACTGAAGAGTGGGGCATCTTACTTATGAATATTCATGATTTTATAAGTATCCAATCAAAAAGTCGGTAGAAGACAGTGAGTGTAAAAGAATTGTTCAAATCTTAGATGAATATTTATGGACTCAACCCCGATTCAGAAAGGATTTAGACTAGTGGCTCCCAACCAATTTTGGGAAATGCCTCACTTTGGTATTTCTAAAATTCTGCCCCATCCCGTAATATTTAATTCTTACATATTCAAAATATTACTTAAAAGGCCATTAACTTGGCCTCTAAACAAGCTTCCAAAGACCATGGCGTCCACGAAAGAGAAAAATTAAAAAAAACAAAAAGACAGTTAAATATATATATAGTTTCAAAATAGAGAACTGAAAAGCAGAAATATAAAATATTTGAATGAAAACTTATTCTGTAATATACTTTGATCATTTTAATCATGAAATAATAATGCAAAATGAAATTTGAGCCCACGTTGTTATAGTTAGCCGAAGGGTGCACATCCTACGCATGCCCCACCAAAATATTACTATGTCCGACCGGTGGGACATACGCCTCACGATAGGAATCATTGGTTTAGACAAATTAATCCACTATATACACGTCAGTTTCTAAGAAAAGAATTTTTGGTGAAACTACAGTAAATTTTTTTAAGATAACGAAGCAAAAAGAAACCATTAATTTAATGGAAATAATGATTTTATATTACGTTTGCAAGAATTTTTGGGAAATGTCGAATGAAACTCAGATTTCTCAGACACAAGGCGAAAAGGGTAGAATTACGAACGGATGATTGTGTAGCGGCAGTCTCTCTAAACTACAAAGCAGCTTCTTTGCATGGTCGATAATTAATGCGAAACTTTTTGAGGGTGAATAGCTGTGCAAATGCTGGAGAGCGGAGAAGACCGTCTATTTTCGAGCGTAAAGATCAGTAGCCGGAATTTTTCGTGTCAATGTCTTAGTGATGGATCACAAGTTCACATTAGCCCCCCTCCCCTCCACGCAATCACACTCTAACACACACACACACACACACAGTCCTCCTTAGTGTCAGATGACATTCTGAAGCGGCGCCACTTGTCGATGCTCAAACTTGTAAACGGCTGGATTTTGAATAATACTGATTTTAAAATCAACCAAATCCTTCCAATTCAGAACGTTCACACTTTTTCTGTAACACGTACATGCCATCTGTCTGCTCTTATAAGTATAAAAAGTAAATTTATTTAGTCAATAAACATCTACGGAGAAGAGTTCGCTAGCACATACGTTTATACAGAGAGAAAGTGGAATGAGGCCATGAAAGTCTGTTAAATTGTTATGATGTAATCTAATTCACCCAGTAACGACTGGCATTTTTTTCTCGGAAGCACTTCGAAGTTGGTGCAGGCTTCTTTTATAGGATTATAGTATAAATATAAATTTTAATCTTAAGTCGAACAACTTAATCAAAATAATCAGAAGAAGAATTTCTTATTTCTGTGGTTTTCCCATAGAATAAGTTAATTTATATATTGTTATGACTGCCATTTCCAATGTTTGTACAAGTACTAATACCAGTACTATTACTACAAATATTCTCCAAGTTGTTAAAATTCCATTCTGTCATTGTTCTCCTAAGAGTGTGTGTGTGTGTGTGTGTGTGTGAGAGAGAGAGAGAGAGAGAGAGAGAGAGAGGAGAGAGAGAGAACTTGATGCTGGCTGATAAGAAAGTAGGAAGTGAAGAAGTTGAATATTATTTTTCAATATTTGATTTTTTTTCCATCGCCGAAAATAACAAAACAAAAAATAAAATAAAAACTTCCATGTTAAGTCAAATTTTGAATCCGATTTAAATAATAAAAAACATTTAGAACATTGAAAGATTTTGTGATGTCAACGAATACGCGTTATCACTTTAGTAATAATGCTCGTTGTAGTAGAGACTTTGTAATCGCAGATACAACTATAGTAACGCCGTTGAACAATACTGGTGTCAGACGCCTTCGAATATCACTCGCACTAATAGTACTTGCTCGATAATACTCGCTCGAATAGTAATCCGCGTATAGTGATCTGAATAGAGAAATAATATAGTGAATAGAGTAGAGAATAGCGGTCCGTATAGTAATAGAGGATAGAATAGAAATAGAGATCCGAATATTTTAGAGGATAGATTAGAAATGTTATCGTTTAGACGTCAAGCTACTTTCTACTTGCGTTTCTCTCATGGTCACGTGATCCACTTAATTCAATAACGGGATCACCTGTGTTTACTCACTGGCGATCTATATTCAAACTCGTGACACTTTATTCCTATATAACAGAAAGCATTATATCAGTTTTTCCTTTTCTTCGAAAACGCTATTTGAAATTTTGCTAATTAATTATAAATGCCAAACAGTTTTTAGCAACAAATGGAAAAATAAAATTTATTACGAATTTTACTTTTTTATAACTGTTACTACTTCTAATCTATCAATTTTCATTAAAAGTTATTAGTATTTCCCGACCTAATTAGATTCCCTAATATTTAAATTTCTGCTTTTCGAGAAATGCACTAACAAATATTGTAAGTACGTTTGGAAATTGTTACTCCGACGAAAGTATTATATTGATATTTATAAAATATTTGTGCTTACTTACACTTGTGTGATTAGATCAACGAGAACTTTTAAATCCCGCTTTATTATGAGATGGATTTCACATAGACTGAGTATTGGACTCAGTGGGAAGGGCCATGAAGGTTAGAAAAATCAGTTGATAATGTTCCCCGGGAACGCATTAAAAGAATTATTCTAATGAGTGAAAAGAAAGTCGGAAATCCGTTCAAGAATATTTGGTCCTGTCTGATGAGTAATATTGAGTGCCTTATGCGAAGGTTTTTCCCTCCTTCAATGCTGTTCCTATAAAAATAAGCAGAAAAACCTATAGCCTCATTGGTAATTAGTTTGTCATAATTAATGTAGTAAATAATTGTAGTCAAATTTAAACTGTAATTTATTTGCATTTTTACAATATTTTTCATATAAAGCTATGTGGTGTGTAAATTGATTTTAGCAGATGCGTCTTTTTATAGTAAACGGCCTCATAAATTAAAATGTTCATAGAAAGTAACATGTGTCTGATACAGAGAAAGTTCATTCATTTTAGTAATTGTCCTTATTGACCGTTTATAGGGGGGGAAGGAAATACAAACACGTTGATTAGAGAATATGGCCTGTAGTTTTGGTGAGTTTGTGATCTCTGGAGGCTTCGCTTATCTCTTTGGGAAAAGGAGTCGCTTCATGTTGATTTGTGTTGGTGAGTTAGAGTTTTTAGTTGATTGACTACGACCTGCTGCAAAGTTACGTATTTATCTGCTTTCTATAGATAAAATCTATAAAGGTTTGAATGTACACAAACCAACAGTAGTTGCTTGATAATCCTCTTTTTATAACATCTTTTCTGCTACGTCCGCAATTTCACAGTTACTGTGGCTCTTATTTTTATCGATTTTTTCTGTAGCCTGCCGTTTTCTTCACACACACACATGCATATATATATATATATATATATATATATATATATATATATATTTATATATATATATATTAGCCTTTTCTTAAATATTTTGAATTTTGAATTGAGCACTATATATATTTTGTTGTCTATACCTTTTAGGCGGAGGTGTTTTCAGTCTTCCTATATATATATATATATATATATATATTTTTGGTTGGATAGATGTGACTTTGTCTGACGATCGCTAAAACGTGAAACCCAGGGTCACAAACTCACATCTATCCAACCATATATGTTAGTTCTATCTCTGATATTGAGCGCTTTCTAATAAATACCTCATATATAATATATAAATAATTATACATATATATATTTATTTATATTTATATACACTTTTCACACACACACACACACACACACACACACACACACACACATATATATATATATATATATATATATATATATATATATATATATATATATATATATAAGGTTGTTCCAATAACTTGGACCGATTTTAAATGAGAATTAAGTTTAAGCGTCTAATGATTTTTTTCTTTTTCTTTCAGATTTAACAACTTAAGTCTTTGTCAATTTCAACCATGGAAAGATTAATAATCAAACAACGTGTTAAAATTATCGAAGCCTATTACGAAAATGGGCGGTCAAAGAGAAATGCATTTCGCGCACTTCGCGACATTTTTGGTCAACATAATCGACCAACCGAAAGTGCAACTGAAAACGATGTAACGTTGTTGTGAAGAGGTTCAATTCCTGCGCGCGATGACGAATAGAGGGGTCTGGATTTTCGGCCACATTCTCATGCACTGTAGCAATGTTTTCAGCAGAACAGCGTAAATGAACACGCAATGGTGTTTTTGCATCTGCCA